CATCCGTATGCCAGACCGGTTGTTGAGTAAAAGAGACATTGAGTTAGTCTGATACATTTTATTACAGAACATAAACATAAATTTTACAGCATCATTTTTTTTTTCTTTTCACTTATATGCTGACAATATACAAACATATCGTAAATATAAGAAGTTATTTACATGTCAATGAAAGTAAAGTGAAGTTAATTTTTGTCTTAGAAAATCAATAACAAACTATACTTGTTATCTAGCTTGATCAAGGTATATTGCAAGTATTAAACGAACTATGGAACAATCTGCAGTTACCAGTTATCAAAACCGTAACAATCATCACTCTGATCGTCTCCATCGACTTCCTCCTCTGCCTCTCCCTCCCCCTCGTCATTATCATCATCATCATCATCATCATCATCATCATCATCATCATCATCATTATTATCATCAGCATCAGCATCCTCCACTGGGAGGGTATTGTAATAACGCTGTGCTTCCAAACTTAGATATTTTGTCGCAAGTTCTAAACAGTTTTCTTTGATTATATTTGGAACTGGGCTCAATCCTAGTGATCTCACTTTAAGCCCTTTGGGATTCATGGAACGGCTTTGCTTTTTTTTCAAAAAGTTTATCTTTAACGGTTCTTGATAGGGATCGATGGAAAATCTAGCAAAACATGCGCCATCTTCGAGGTTTTTGGCAACAAGCCTGCCATTGCTGTCGATCGCTTCGCCAATGCCAAAGTTAAGCCAAGCCAAACGTCTTACCGCAAATTTCTGTCCATGTACGTCCTTTTGCCGGCTTACATACGCATTACGCAAAAACGTTTTAAATGACTTGAGAATGTCCAACGAGACTTCTTGGATCACCAGATTTGTAATATTTTGTTCCTTCAATTGAGCTACCCAATCGGTAGGTGTTTCAATAGTTTCAAAGCGTTTCGTAGCTGCTTCTATAGAGGCAAAACGCCTATCACAAATTGCGTAAGTGTGGCCTTCGAGCAAAAATTTTAAGTCCACTCTAGAAAATCGCTTCGTTTTCACTAGATATTGCAGGTAAAAAAAAAGGTAGTTTTCTTTGAATTGGGCTGGGCAATTGTCCGCCCAAAGGACGAGATGTTTTAGTCCAGCTGCCTGAGTTTTTAGAAAGAAATCTAAGCAGGAAATTACTTCATCAGGTCCCTCTCCTCCAACTGTTGCTGSATATACGTAGGCGTGCAATTTCTTTCGGTTTGCGTGAAAAACTCCAAAAAGCCTCGTTGTCAATCGTCTTTTAAAATAAGCATCTTGGCTTGTTAACTTTGGTAACTGGATAGTTTTGTGAAAATCTAAATGCAAGACCAATGCCTTTTCAACCATCGTAACGAGCTACAAACAGCAGTGACAGGTTTTGTTTTCAAAACTAACGTCTAATGTCTCACGTAACTAAACAAAAGATTGGCGCGCGCGTTTTGCTAGATAACCTAGCTATGCGACATATGGTTCTCAAAGGCTATGCAATATACCTTGATCAATTTCAACTGCGTTTAACATACAGTGAACTAGCTATAACGCGGACTAGAAATTTATGAATAAAGCCGATATCGCTGTTGCTGATTGCTTTTGGTTGTCAGTTTGTGAGTTGTTTGCCTTGGGTGCTGCTGTTGATGTTGATAATGCTGTTAAATTAATTTACTCATGTGCTCTTGTTGAAAACAGCAGGAAAAAACAATAAAAGCACAGCGCTAACCTCAATGATTTGAAGGAATACGCTGTATAGTTCCTGTTGCTTTCAGTTGAATTAAATGTTAGTGAAAATGTTTGTTGCCAAATGCATGTAGAATCGAAATTCAGTTGGCACAGATGCCTTATATGTTATTGGAAGAAATAGAAGAACAAGTCGAGTTGAGTAACCTGTGAAAACCTCANATATTACCATGCTATATAGGAGTCATCCGTCAATAAACTGAATTGTCGACATTAAAAGGGATAACTGTTTTAATGCCCGTTTAGAAATATTATTTTGGGGTTCATAAAAGCTGAACATATTCAAGCAACAATTGTATACATGTATGTTTCGTTGCTTCACCGGACAGCCATTTTAGACCCCTTGTGACGTCAAAGCAGCTAAAGATAGTATCCTCGGGAACTAGAATCCATTCTTTTGTCCTCCAGTTGTAATTGCATTCCCACGAACTGCAGGGAGTCTATAGAATGCTAGAATACTCTTTATATATAGTATGTTTTTAGAGTTTGTGCGAATTATTGATATATGGCATATTGATCCATAGGTGTTATTGTTGAGATAGATGACCATTCACAAATAAGTTAACTTTCCAACTTTGTTTCACCGAACAGGTAATGCCGAATCCTGTTCCATGATTTATGGAATGCGGAGATCATTTCTTTAGATTTGTGACACTGTAGTTAATAATATGCTCTAAAAATATATATCTTACTATCTCTGACAAGTGTTCTAGCTAAATACAGTATATGTTCCTTTGTTTTTATTGCCAATTTTCAAATCCTTTTTCGTTGGTTACTAAAGCAACATGGAAATTCAAATTCAAGCTGCATTTGCTTTAATACTTTGCCGAACAGCTTGTCCATCGAACCATGCCATTTAGGAATGCGGAGACACTAGGTCGAGGCAGGAAATGGCTTTTGTTTCTCTTTGATTTTGTTTTAATGACAATTTTCACAAATAAGTGAACTTTCCAGCTTCAACTGTAGCTTTGCTTCACCGAACAGGCCGAACCCTGTTCCATGATTTATGGAATGCGGAGATCATTTCTTTAGATTTGCGACACTGTAGTTATGCTCTAAAAATATATATCTTACTATCTCTGAGTATTCGAGTTAAATACAGTATTGTTACTTTGTTTTTATTGCCAATTGTTTGAGTTGGTTAACAAAGCAACATGAAARTTCAAGCTGCAGTTGCTTGCTTCGCCRAACAKCTTGTCCACCGAACCGTCGGCCATTTAGGAATGCGGATTCACTAGATYGAGGCCGGAAATGCAGCTTYCGTYAGTGTTCATATTTAGTTACGAACCTAGTTTGCGCACTTTATATCTGTTAACAGCCTGCGCTAAGCATACCAATTGAGAGAATCAAGATGGAAGAAAGATATAYAGACGGTGCCTCATRCATTGAGAAGGRGGAGAGGMTTCTTTCAGATTTTCAAGCCAAAGTCAATAGTTTTTTCAAAGACGAAGCCGCGGGTTTTAATATCGCGGAGAACTTTCAGAGTATTCGCAACTGCTGGGATGACGARAGAATGTCTGAAAATCAGGTAAAACAGATTTCAGAAGTTGGCAAAGTTATCGAGAYCTCCATTTCTTCYCTTGACGACCTTACGAGTGGTGARCCTGTACGAATCATKAAAGGATGTTTAAACATCGCRCAGTCYGTATCAAKCATGATTGGTGGGCCTTACGGTGCCGCTGCAAGTGCTATATGTGGTATACTAGGTGCTGTTCTATCACAGGGCTCCCAAGGAAAACCAGATATGGCAACAACGATTATTGAAGAAGTCAAGAAAGAAATGAAAAGCCAAATTGCCAAATTCAACCGATTAATATTAGACCAGGAATGCAATGGCTTATTTACACGCATGAAAACTATGGTAAAGTTGTTAAAAGAAGTTTCAGATCATGAGCATATGCCAGATGGTCATCTTATTGAGACAGATCTCCCTCAGTTCTCTGGRAAAGTTGCCGCTAACTTCATCGACTTCACTGGCGAAAAAGCTTGYAAGAACTGTGTCAGCTGGGTAGTTTTATATTGCAAAGTCCAAACGGCACATATCATGCTGCTTACCGTAATTATTGCAGCTTTCAAGTCGAGTGGTCGCGAGACAAAGTTCATCGAAAGGCAATTGGAAAGTGCAAAAGATGAGTCCATCGAAAAGCTTGATTTTGTGTGTGATGAGATGCAAATGAGAAAAAAAGTCAGTCCAAGTCGCAATCAAACTCAGCTGGCCATTTGCGTCCGACGCAATAATGATGCATATAGAGTGATTGAAGGATTTAGAAAAAGCTTGGGAATGGCAGAAATGCCGTCACTGAAAGAATTGACTAGACTTCTTATGGCATTGAACGAGTGTAACTGTAGCTTAGACCATGTTATTCCTTGTTACCCACAACCACATAACAAGGGCGATCATCACTACTTTCAGTTGATCAATCACACAGAATTTCCTATCCTAGTGAAATGTGGGGACGAAGTTGGCAAGAAAGGGAACGTGCTGCAGTTTAAAAAGTTATTAAACCCATATTCATCTTATGAACATGCAGTAACAACTAAGTTTAATAGAACTTTCTCAACTGGAGGAGTTTTTGCTGTCTATCTTGAACATCAAGAGAGATCTGAAGAAAATATGCTTGAGAACGATGGTTCGCRTATGAAAGTTTTTGAGTTCGCGTTGTCAAATCCACTTGTTGGTAAGTGCAAGTCCGCTATTTTAGATACATCACATGACTTTTCGCCCTCAACAAACGGCCAAACCTGTTGGGATGAAATGAATAAYGGGACTAAACGCAATGAGTTGATTTCCTTTGAAGACAATSATGGAGAGTGTTACATTGCATCTACTGCGTATTCTCCCAAAGGAAAAAACCGCCGCCGAACTTGCCGTTTTGTCGTTTTGAGCCCCCATTGCAGACCTTATAGAGATGCTCMATGCGATTTACCTAAATCAGGCACAACAAAGATAATAACAATAAAAATGCATTCACGCGAAGAACGTGATGAACCACTTTTTCGTATTAGAGACTTTCGTCATTGTTCTCTTCTTTTCGTATTTTTTATTGTATTGCTCTTCGTACTAGCAAAATATGTTTGATTTTTTGGAGGTACCTTCCATAAGTAGTTTTCAATTTGAATTCAAATCAATATAATATCAAAATAAACCAACCAATCTGTTACCACTTCCTTCTGGTATCTACTAAAGGGACTCCCAGCAGTCATGAATTTGTGCGTTCAGAGCCATACAACAAGGGATACCTAGAATATTGTAAAAGCCAATAGTATTCACAAACATAGTAAGGTTTACAGCTATGTTTAAAAACATCCAGAAACTCTTACGAAGTTGATTTTAACCGTTTATGTTTATATAATATAAGATTTTTATGCACATATGAAACTGTGAGCAGTTTAAAAGCTCATAAAGGACAGTCACAAATTTTTAAAAAGCATTCAGTCTTCAGTCAAGTCAATGATTTACTCATGACAGATCACATACTATATTACCATATATGTAGTCACATTCTACTTTTCTTTGAATATTTTAAAAATATTCTGTCAAGTATTTACACCTGCATGTAATMTCACAAAATTACACAACCTTAATAAAAAATAAACACAAGTTATACTTTGTGCAGTCAATCTTTCATCTTAACAAACTTTGCTTCTGCTTCATTTAAAGTTATTCTTTTGCTTTGCCCAAGAAAATGGCCTGTAGCTTCTAGACTTTGGATTATAACTTCAACTTTGTCTCCAACTTCAAAATCTCTGTTGAAAAACATGTCAAAATTGGAGCTCATGAGAGACTGAAAAATCACTTGTGGAAAAGTAAGAAAAACAAATATAGCTGATCAGACATCTAATAGTCTCAGTGTGTGAAAAGCAGTGTATTGAGTGGAAATTTTCTTTATATTTTTAGTGGTGGAAACCCTGAAGAAGCCTGAAGTTTTAAACATGTGAATTGAAAGAGATATTATTTCATATGTCAAAACCCTTCTTGATATTTTTTGGGGATCCACCCTACCCCCAAACCCCATTGAAAAATCAAATGGTCCTTCCCTAAAGGCCTTTGAATCAAAAATACCACGCGATTGAAAAAGTTTACCTTTGTAAGGGAACACTATTAACAGCATGAAATTTCCATCCAAAGTCCACGTAAACATCCTTGTTCTTTTCTCTTTGTACAATATGACTAACTTTACCAAKCACTTTCTTGCCGCCCGGCCTTCCGAGTTTTACAAATTGTGAATTTCTCAACATTTCTCCGAAATCTTCATCTTCTGTAATGTCCTTATTCGCTGTTGAACATCTTCTACTAATCCACGATTGTCTCGTCTCATTAATTAAACAATTTAAGCTGGGAAATATCTGTCTTGACACTCTCGTTCTGATTAGTGTGGCCGCCATTTTGGAATTAGTGAACCTTCAGTGTGTTGACCGGCGGAATTAGCACAGGAAGCCCAACCACTGCCCTAAACCAATGATTAATCTACTACAACAATAATGTTATACGGAGCTCCGTAATATATTAACCTTCTTTCAATATGACGTTTTGCATTTTYAATATTGAAATCTATGGCGATTCATTTTGTAACAAGTCGATTGAGGATTACGTCTCATCATCGGTTACCCTGTGGAAAAGTCCCAAGCCCTTAACCGTGAGACTCGGTCTCCATAGTGACAAACAACCGAGGACGATCAAAAGAAGAGAAAGTGTTCGACGTTTTTTGCAAAAATATCCGATTTTACGATGATTCCTCCAAATGCGTCACTTGTAAAGTATGACAAYCCTGTCCTTGTCAGTAGAAATACCGATAAAAAGTCTCCAAGGGTGAGTATTTCAGGCAGAAAGTGTTCAAAACTCCCTCGACATGTCGGCCTCATGTAAGCTTATGTTGTGTTTTCCCTAATTGTAAAAGCAAAATAAAAGCATTTTATGCGTATCTTACACTCCAGATCTTAGGCTGAAAACTAGGATTTAAAATTTGATTATTGATATATAGCTAATAATAATAATAATAACTTTGTATAGTTTTTAGACGAAAACTCTGTCTACGTTGTGTCGAAAAATACTGGGAAATGTTTTTGAACAAGAGCTGTTGTCACTCTGTACAAAAATCAAAAATCGATTGTTTTTCTTTTCGTGCAGCATAAATTCACATTAGACATATTAGAAACTTGTTTCGTTTCGTTTTACACTAATTTATTTGGAAATTTCTCAGGCGAGATCCCTAAAAGTCAGTCAACAACAAGGGCCTACAAATGGCGCAGGGCCTGTCCCACAACCACCGAAGGCAAGCAAACTTCCCCCAATGGACGCTCAGAAAAACCAGCAAACTGATGAAATATTGAATGCCATTCTACCTCCAAGGTTAGGGCAAGATTCCTTTACTTGTATGAATTAGAAACATTT